GAATCTCCAAAACACAAAGGGCTGGTGCTTCATCGAGAGTAGGCCAAGCCTAAGTGGGCTTGGGTTTGTGATCCAGACGCCCCAGCTTGAGCTAGGTGAACTGCACCGAAGAAGAAGATCGGCGCCACCGCTTCAGGCAGTTGTGTCATGGCACAAAATCATAGCAAAAGAACCATGGATTCGTAGGTGACCCATAAGGGTGAACGGAGAGTAAAATCTCTCAATGTTTTAGAAACCTTAAAAAAAAAATTGAACCAGAATTTCGAAAAATCCAATGAGATTCAAAACGGATGTCAGCCAAAATTCGTCAGGAACGATCTTTAGGTCATCAGAACGAGAACCTAAGGTCAATGTTAGGTTGTAGGCCCACATGTGATGGTGAAGACACCATTGAAGGTGTCAAGTTTTTTTTGGGTTTCAAACTAGGAGCCTATGGCCTCGACTTTAAGTCCCGCGGCTCAAGGAGAGCTAGACGGCGACAAGGCTTCAGATCACTGTCGTCGGGGTTCTAAAAAAAACCTAGAAATTTATTTTTAATTAATTTTTTCAAATTAATTCTATATAATTTCATGTATATATTTGGTGCAATTCATGGCAATATCAATTCACATAATTCAACAATTATGGATATAACGCGTATATAATTTATGTAGAATCTAAAATTCGAAAAACGTAAAGTTGGGTCATGCATTATGGTGAATGTTCATGCTATTAGGGCTGCAAGAATATCGAGATAAAAACTGCTGTTTTGGAATGACCTAATTGCGTGATGATATTGATGAACTGGTTTGATGATATTGATGTTCATGCTGTCAGACTTCTAAGCGTAGTGGTAGGAGAGTGATGATAACATGTTATGGCTTATTTTAATCTAACAGGGGGGAGGGGCACACGGCAGAGAGAGAGTAGGGAGAGAGATGTGTTTGTAGGGTTATGTAGAGGATGTGTTATTCCCCCTATGCAGTGCTTTTATTTATAATAATAAGGGAGGGAATACTCCTTCTCCTCCAAGGAATACCAGTTTTAATAGGGAAGAATAACTAGTATCGAATCTAATTTAAAATTTACTAATCACACTTAAATACAGAGTTTATAACAGTTACTAGATTATATCAGTTTTGTTTTCTTTATATACAGTAGGTAGTTACTAGATAGTTTTTTTTTTTTTGTTGAACAAACAATATTATCTATACTAAAAGGGTGAAATAGTGGGCTAAGCCTCATAATAGACTTTAGTTTGAGTATTTAAATATTTAAAATTTAGAAATTGAATAAGTGATACAATAATTAAAGAATTTAAATATTCTTATCTTAAGGGGCAAAATTGATATCAAAATATATAATTGAATAACTGGACTCAGTCCCAAAAACAACGTATGTTTTTGGACCTAGATCCAAAAGGCTCTAAAATAAAATAACTAGGAACAAAATCTCAAATTAACTAGGAGAATCTGTATTAAATCTTCAATCAGTCCAGCCACATTTTAGACCTAAATCTCCACAAATCCCGCACATGATAGCTTGTTTTAAAGATTAGGACAATCTGAACACAGCTCTAAAAGGGCCGAATCCAAAAGAGGCCATCTTGGGTTCCAAAATTCGCAATCAACCCCAAAATGTCACTCTAGGAAAGCTGGACGCTGGGACTTTTTCTTTGCCACGGTCAAACGGTTTGGTAGAAAAATATGGAATTTTGGTACAATTATCTTGAAATACTCATGAACATCCTCCAATTAGAATCACTAAAAAATTCCACCGTTAGACTACTTTTTGCTCAAGAGCAAATCGAATGTCCTACATTGAAAATATAAATTAAAATATCATAATTCACCGAAATAACTAATCAATTAATACTAAGATTAGGGTAAAATATTTACACTACATATTAATAAAACACTGTTAGTCAACCAAAAACTAATAAAATTACTACTATACCCTTTTAATACAAAACTAACAAAAGGATATTAGAAAAGAAAACAATGTGAGCATTAAAGTAATTTTGTACAAACAAGTTTTTACTGTTTTTTTTTCTTTTCGGCAACTATGTTACTCTATCACTACCCTCTCAACTCATTCTCACTCTTTCTCTCTCTCTTTCCTAACTATCAAACCCTATTTTTCTGGAATGCCTGCCATTAAAAACAAATAACTCTTCTCATAAAAAAAAATTAAAATACAAATATTTGAAAAATATAAAAAAATATATTTTTCAACACACAGTGTGTGACCTTTGCTAGTATAGTATAATATTGACTCATCAGTAATCTATCCAATACTCTTATTTGTTAGCAGGTTATGCGAACTAGTAAGGGCCTCGTGCTCAACTTTCCCTCAACTGATTCATCTCCTTTATTAAATGAGGTAGGATTCAGAACAGAGGCATTTACAGAGATGCACAAACTTGAACTGCTTCTTCTCAATAATGTAAAGTTGAGTGGAAGCTATGAAGATTTTCCAAAACATTTAATATGGTTGTCTTGGCGAGGGTTCTCTTTAAAATCAATACCAACCATTTTTTGTCTGGAAAATCTAGTTGCTCTTGACTTGCGGAAGAGCAGTCTGCAACATATTTGGAAAGGAACCAGGGTATGTTCTAATCTCAGTATCTCTCTCTCTCTCCTCTCTCTCAATACACACGCAAACAAAAATAAATTTAACGAAAACTGTGTATTTATTTCAATTAATCACTTCTCTTTGATACAGTTTCTTCTAAGATTAAAAATACTTAAATCTCAGTCATTTGCATGGCCTTAAGACAACACCTGACTTGTCCGGATTCCCCAACCTTGAGAGATTAATTAAGGGTTGCATAAATTTGGTTTGTGTGGTTGAATCCATTGGAAACTTGTTTTCTTGAATCTAAAGGACTCCAAAGTCTTATGAAGCTTCCAAAAAGATTGCACATGTTGAGGTCTCTAGAGGAACTTGTTCTTATTGGTTGCTCGAAGCTTGTGCTTAACGCCAGTGCCACGGTTATTCATTTAAACGCTACAGCTAGTGATCTGAATAAACTTGGTCTGTTATCAACTATATCAATATGGACCTGTACAATTTTGGAATCCATAGCAGGCACTGATGTCGAAATGAGGAACTACTTGACGACTACAACCAGAAAGGGACGAAGTACGTATTTCCGTGAATGAAGAATAGTTCGGTATCCAGCTTGTGTATGGGCAGGAAAGTAGGTTTAAGGGTGTTCAAAGTACCAGTTCTGGACAGGCAAATTCTTTCTTCGCAATCATCGGAGTTGTATTCATCAACTTCATTTCTCTAGACTAGGAGCCAGGAGAAGACAGATTATCTTGATTTTTCATTCTTATTTAAGCAAGATGTTCTTGCTAAGACGATGGTTCCATCTACTCAAATGAATCTTACACCGACTCCCTTTTATAGAGGATTAGCCTCCATCCAACACCATTTCATGGTCTTTGAAAAAAAAAAAAAAAAAAAAGGTCAGCGCCTGGTGAGTCTGATTTTCTGTTATATAAGTTCTTTTTTCATATTAATAAATTGACCTCCCGTCGAGATTTTCCTCAAAACAAAATAAAAAGTACTACGGAAATTTTCTGATTTATTACTTTTTTTCTGTTGTGAAGGTAAATGTATACAAGTTAATGTTGTGTCAGAAACAAGAAAAATAATTGCTTCCCAATAATATTCTTAATTATACTAGAACAAGAAGTTACTGCAATCTATTTGAGTCTAAATGGCAACCCAATGCCTTTCCCTTGGTGTGGTCAGTAGTACTCCATACTGTCGGGCAGCGAAGCTTACATGTTCACTAATTATGACGGTTTGCGAGGGCCTGTGCCTACAAGAAAACATGAAGGCTGGAGACTGTTTTGTTAGATAATTGCACAAAGATTAATGACCATGTGCGTTTCATTGGAATCACTTATTTGGGGTTACGATCAGTTGGTTGAAGTTGAAAGTCTATTGGATAAACCGTTGAGAAGCATTGGCATAGAAATGACAAAATGTAAGGGTCTGTTCTATTTGGAATCTATAGGCGGCTCTGACGTAGAAATGATCAACCACTTGATTAGGGAGGGAGTACAACTAGAACGAATCCCGTTCCATGGAAGTCTCTCTCCCCGTGCATATCCTCTCATTTCCACTCATGCATAGTTGTTTTATATGTTGTAAAATCAATGGGATGTGTGTAATGAAACATAAAGTAAATAAGATACAATATTTACGAGGTTCGGTAAGTGTGTCTACGTTCTCGGGGCAGCAATAGTACTTTCTTTCATTACGTGAAATAACAAAAGTACAAAATAACTCTCATTATTTTCTCTTTTCTCTCTAGCCTGGCTCATTAGTAATTTCTTCCTCATCTCTATTCTTTCCTCTTCTTTTCCTCTTCTTTTCCTTTCCTCCATAACTCCTCTTTCTTTCCTCACTATGTTTTTCTCTCATCTCTTTCGTCTTCTTCTCCCTTCTTCCTTCCTCCGTATGCTCTCATCTTATAAACAAAAGTTTACTATAGCAACACTATTCAATTTACAAAATTTTCCTCAAATGAATGGTGAAATACTGTGTATAAATAGTAACCCATCCGTTTTTCTTCATATGATTAATAATCTATCTAATTATTCTTTAGGAAAACTAATGAAAAGGGCTTGAAAACTTTTAATGTAAAAATATGGTTTTTCGTTAAAGTGAACAGTACCGGGAGCTTTTCGTTAAAGTTCTCTTCTTCTTTGGATGAATAGTAATGAACTATTCATATGGGCCATCCACATATTATATTACAACACTATATTATTTTTATGGCCAAGTTGGGGGCGGCTAACCGTTTGAATAATCTACCATCTTTGTTATAATATTATAGTTTAGTTTTGATTTTGTTGTGATTTATACAAAGTTCCGTTTGCCTTATATGGATTGGTGAGACTCCCACCATGTGTTTGTTTTATAGTTTATGTTTTTTTAACTTTGTCTACTCTTTTTGTCTTTTTATTGATTGGTGAGATTCCCATTGTTATGCATCTTCAAGATAAATGCTTCTACTTTCATTTGCAAAATTAACAGTTTAAAAATGAGTTCAATGACGAGGCCTCATGCCGTTTGTATTCCTCTTCCAGCGCAAGGCCACATAAACCCAATGCTCAAACTTGCAAAACTCCTCCACTTCAAAGGCTTTTGCATCACCTTCGTGCACACGGAGTTTAACGCCCGGCGTTTACTATCTAGTCTAGATGACCTCCAGAGCTCAAACGATTTCCGGTTTGAGACCATATCCGATGGCTTACCACCAACGAACGAACGAGGGATACTTGACCTCCCGGAGTTGGTCACAAAGATACAGGTCGATGGCCAGCGCTCGTTCAGAGACCTCGTCACTAAACTCAATCATGCTTCATCATTAGATCATCATGTGCCTGCCGTCAGCTGTATTATTTCTGATGGAGTGATGGGATTTACTTTACTAGTTGCTCAAGAATTTGGCATCCCAGAGATGTTTTTTTTTACTCCTAGTGGTTGTGGTATGCTGGGGTATTTACACTATGAAGATCTAGTAGAAAGAGGCTATTTTCCATTGAAAGGTACAAATCCTTCTTATTTTCCAGCTACAATCGCATTGATCTCAAATTAAACACACTTATTTTGCCCTATCGATTTTTCCAATTTATTTTAGGAAAACATTTTCAGCATAATTTTGAGACAGTACTTGTACACTTTATGTGCAGTATAATTTGTGTTTGATCTCTACTCTCCATGGAAATGTTCTCCGATAAAAACTTAGGTTGTCAAGTTATGGATCTGAATCATTAACCAATTCGATCGTTGCATGAATTTCTGGTCAAGATTCAGTCCCGTAACAGAAATATTTGTTTGGTAACATCCTTGTACCGAGAGAACATTACCATGTTTATAAATAACACGATCGCATTCTGAAACTTGTAACATCATTTTTTGAGCAATAGTAATTTCAGTTTTGATTGATATCATAATGGAAATACACATATTAAAGGCTTCTCAATCGTAATCCATATCATGTTTCTATTTTTTTTGATGTGCAGACGAGAGCCAATTGAGCAATGGCTTTCTTGATACGGGGATTGATTGGATACCAGCAATGAAAGGAATTCGTTTGAAAGATCTGCCCACCTTCTTACGGACCACGGATAGTGATGATACAATGTTCAACTATAATCTACAAGTAGTTAACATTGCTATGAAAGCTCAAGGTGTAATCCTCAACACATTCGACGAACTGGAGCAAGAAGTTTTGGACGTGATCAAAACCAGGTTCCCCAACCTCTACACCATTGGTCCGCTTTCACTGCTTCAACATCACCTCTCCGCGACTCATTACTTGGACTCGATCAAAGCCAATTTGTGGACGGAAGACGAGAAATGTTTGGATTGGTTAGACAAAAGACCGCGACAATCAGTGGTTTATGTGAACTATGGAAGCCTAGTGATCATGACAAAGGAACAATTGGCCGAGTTTGCATGGGGGCTTGCTGACAGCAAGTATCCATTTCTGTGGGTGATGAGGCCAAATCTGGTGGATGGTGGGGAAGAGATCATATCAAGCTTGAATTTCATGGAGGAAACAAAGGATAGAGCTTTGTTTTTGGAATGGGGCCCACAGGAGAAAATTCTCAGCCACCCTTCAATTGGAGGCTTTCTAACACATTGTGGTTGGAATTCCACATTGGAAAGCATTTGTGAGGGAGTGCCCTTAATTTGTTGGCCCTTTTTTGCAGAACAACAAACCAACTGCTTTTACTTGTGTAATAAGTGGGGGTTTGGGATGGAGATTGACACACAGGTTGAGAGGGACAAGGTTGGGAAGCTTGTGAGGGAATTGATGGAGGGTGATAAAGGGAAGGAGATGAGGGAAAAGAGTAAGGAATGGAAGAAGAAAGCAGAAGCAGCTACGACACCTGGTGGGTCTTCTTACACTAACTTTGATGTGTTGATTAAGCAGCTCAAACAGTAGGATCTAATGTCTAACAAACATTCTTGTAAGGATTGCTGAGACGAAAAAAATCTCAAACTATCTAAGTCAAAATTTTACTTTGAGTCCCCGCATTGATGTTAATTAATTTAGTAGGAGGTTCTGAGCTTAGTAGTATCCAATTGTGAGGCTTTGAAGCCTGGAAATTATGATAGAAAAATAGAACCTATCTTTGAACTTTGAGAGTTTTCCATGGCTAAACTCTCTCGCTTGGAAATACTTAAATCCTTTATTGTAGGCAACTCGACCACCATGATTAATATGGATGAAGGCAAAGCTCGTGTTCCTTGGCACAATGCTTTAGAATGTTGACACAGAAATTGACATTAAGCTTTAGATGGCAAAGAGTCCGTAGAAAGTCTGACTTTGAGAGTCTCCTTAGCATTTGTCATCGAACAAACAAAACACCAATTAGTAATGAAGGTTCTTTTCCAGTTATAGTGTCTATATATAGTCGAGATGAGATCTGCATCCTTTCTAGTACTGCACTGTAATCTTTCCGCGAACGGTTGCAAATGTAGGCCTTTAAAGTTGGCCATGCCATCACCTTGCTGTGACAAATATCAACAAATATACATGATTATTGCAGTCATGTTGTCCTAAAGGTGTCCTAACTATTCACTTTACGAACTATATCATTGTTGCATGCCTTGAGAAAATGACAGAAACTAATCAAATCTCTAATAATAATAATGGGAATTGTTATTAGCACTCCAAACATCTCATTATACACTCCAAACTTTCTATATTAGGAAAGAAAAATACACTTATAGGGAGTGTAGAATGAGATTTTTGGAGTGCCAATAACACTTCCCATAATAATAATCAATTAATGTAATCTCTCAAAATTCAATAAAAATAAATGTTTCATAGTTTTGGATGATAATCAGTTGCCATAAACGAAGAAATCAAAGAATGAGAAAATAGTTTTTTGCTAGTAAATAAAACAAGCATAAATTGAGAAATGATTCAAACTTCTGCCGCTTACTATTACAATTTAGTGGTATTTTTTTTCTTAAATGGTCTTAGGTTCGAATATCGTGAATAACAAGTTCGATATCAATTGCTTCTCCCATCCTATAGTGTAAATATATTGCATAGAAATTAAATTAGGTTAAGTCTAGATAACTATCCAACCTTTGGAGGTGGTTCCAAATTGGTCCTAACCTTTTAAAACATTTCAAATAAGGGGTGTGATATCCACACACCCTTCTAATTTTCGGTCGTCGAATCGGATGAATGGAAGAAGATCAACGGATAGAAATTAACAAGGGTGTGTGAGAAGTAATTTGGGGTGTGTGGATAGCACACCCCTTCAAATAACTACTTAACATTTTGAAAATTGCATATATGTTAGGTTCACTTGTGAAACCCCACCCCAAAGTTAATTGTAATTTCACATTTTTAAATTTATGAAATTACCTTTTGTCCCCTATCCTTTACCCAATCCGGATTCCCTCTTGGATTTTCTCCTAACACACACACTCTCTCTCTTTGACTGCCATGTGGCAGCTCCCCCACCCCTCATTCTTTCTCTTTTTCTCTCTTCTTCCCCAAGTCACTCTTTCAGCTCACACTTTCTCCCTCTCGCAAACCTCCATCCCTCAACCCTCGCTCTCTCTCTTTCCCGGAGGACACACTCACCACCACCCACACTCAGCGCTCTCTCCCTCATCTCCTTCGTGAATCATAGAGCACACCCTTTGGAGCTCAGCGGACCCAACTCTCTCTGCAAGTCCGACGGCTTCAAGCCCACTTCCTGGCCATGGCAATGGACCACGAAGGTACGAATCTCTCCCTCTCATATCTACCTTCATTTTAATAGGTAAATCGTAGGGTAAGGTGGTGAATCGGCAATACTTACACAATATTTACACAATATTTACATTCCCTTTTTCTAAAGATTGACTCACGCCAATACTCCCCCTTAAGTTGGTGCATAGATGTCACACATGCCCAACTTGATAAGTGAGTCACCAAAGTTCCTACTACACACGACATGAGTAAGAACATTCGCAAGTTGCTCTTCCGAGTTTACGAACGGTATTGACACAATCTTCTTCTCAATCTTTTTTTTAATAAAGTGTCGATCAATCTCAACATGCTTCGTTCTGTCATGCTGTACTGGATTCTCTGTTATTTCTCTTGCTAACTTATTATCACAATACCATTTCATAGCCTCATTTTGCTTGAACCTAAGACCCCAAAGCAGCTTTCGCAACCAAAGAATCTCACACACTCCATGCGTCATGCCTCTGTATTCGGCTTCCGCAGAAGACCGTGGCACCACTTTTTGTTTCTTGCTTCGCTAAGTAACTAAATTTCCTCCAACAAACGTAAAATACCCAGACGTAGAATACCTATCAATCACATCAGTTGTCCAATCAGCATGAGTAAACCTCTAAATCCTCATATGACCATGATGTTCATACAAAATTCTTTTTCCCTGAGCAGACTTTAAATATGCTAAGATCTACATAACTGCAACCTTATGATCCATACTTGGTGAGTGCATAAATTGACCCACCATACTCACTGTATAAGCAATATCTAGAGAGTGTGGGAAAAATAAATTATTTTCCTACCAGTCTTTGATATATGCCTTTGTTAACTAGTTTTTGATCTGGATAAGTTCCTAAGTGATGTTTCTCCATAATATGAGTGTACACAAGTTTACACCCAAGCATAAATGTTTCATTTAATAAATCTAGAACATATTTATGTGGAGACAAGAAAATACCTTTGGACGAGCAAGCAACTTCGACTCCAAGAAAATACTTTCTCTAAGAAACTACTTTAAATCTACCAAATTCTTCATATCAAACTCGACAGCAAGGTTTTTTTCTTTCTAATTTTACAATCTCATTGGAATCATCACCTGTTATTATCATATCATCCATATAAATAATCAAGGCTATCACTTTACCACTTCTCTATTTCACTAAGGTGTGATTGGAATGACTCTGATAATATCCATTCTTTCTGATGGCTTGAGTGAATCTACTAAACCATGCACAAGGTGATTGCTTAAGTCCATAGAGTGACTTTTGCAATCGCCATACTCCGGTTTTCCCCCCAGCATCATATCTCGAAGGAAAGTCCATATATACTTCTTCCTCCAGATGCCCATGAAGAAAAGCATGCTTTACATCAAAGTGTTTCAATGGCCAATCCAAATTTGCAACTAAAGAAATAAGACGCGTACCGTATTCATCTTGGCTACTGGAGAAAAAGTTTCCTGGTAATCAACACCATACGTTTGAGTATATCATTTTGCCACCAACCTTATTTTGTATCTGTCAATTGATCGTCAGCCTTATATTTAATTGTAAAAACCCATCGACATCCAACTAGATTGTTTCCTTTTGGTAGTTCCATTTTTTTTCCCTTTTGGTAGTTCCATTATTTCCCATGTGATATTATCGCTTTAGCCCATTTTGGATCCTTCAAAGCTTCATTCACTAAGGTTTGTACTTGAATTGACTCCACATTATTTAGCCATGCTTGACGTTCAGGTGCAAGATTTTTACATGACACATAATTGGCTATTGGATACTTCACTTTTCCTTCTGGAGAAAATTTGTCAGGAGGTACACCATGATTTTGCCTTGGTGGCAACTTATATGTACTTACAACGTTATTTGGATTAGCTACATGAGCATCTATGGTACTTACCTCAGGGATATTCAAAGAAGACATATTGGATGACACTATTGAGCTAGAGAGAGAGGGTGATGTAGGTTTGGCAAGAATATGCATATCCTCTGTTATATTAAATTCAGTAGCAGCCTATTGTTGGGCTGTTATGCCTTCGGCAGAAGTTGGCAGAAAACCAGCACACTCATTGGCATGACCTTGTCGATAGTCTATAATGTTCTCAGCAAATGGCAGTTGAAGGCCTACAGCAGTCTCGGCAGGAGCTGGTCGAGATACTGGTGTACCAGTTTAGGTATTTTCTACAAAGCCCACTCCCCCTAAAGCACAAATCACATCTTCTTGTACATCTAACCAACCAAAATCACCAAGATTGCTACTAGTGTTCTCCCCTGGTGATCTCAAGGTGATGGTAACAGAGAAAAAAAATATTCAGATTCCAAAAAAGTAACATTCATCGTCGTCACATACATATGTCGAGTTTTTGGATGATAGCATATATACCCTTTTTGTTGCGATGCAAAACCAATAAAGACACATCGAAGGGCACACATATTCAGTTTACTACGATGAATCTTGTGAATATGAACATAAGTAACACACCCAAATACCCAAGGAGTAAGGGTATTTGTAGACATGACTGGAACATGTTCAGTCAGCACTTGGAGAGGTGTATAAAAGTCCACAACTCGATAGGGCATCGATTAATCACATAAACCGCATAAGTAACACCTTTAGGCCAAAACGCTTAGGAACTGATACACCAATAAGCAATGCACAAGCATTTTCCAAAATATGAAGATTTTTCTTTCAGCAACCCCATTTTGTTGCGAACTATGACGGCACATTATTTGATGGAGAATTACTTAATCCCGAAGAAAAACAGACAACTTAGAAATAATATATTCACCTCCATTATCATATCGGAGAACTTTAATAACGGAGGAATATTATGTTGTAATCATATGAGAGAATGATTGAAACACCAGACTATCATCACTCTTATTTTTCAACACATATATCCAAGTCATACGGGTGCGTGCAGTCATCAACGAATGTAAAAACCATTTAATTCCAGAAAGAGTAGTAATGGGAGAAGCCCCCAAACATTTGAGTGCATAAGATCAAACGGAAACAATTGTTTATTCATACTAGGAAGAAGTGAAGCACAATGGCTCTTAGCAAGAATACACACTTCACAATGTAAGTCTGATTCTTTTATTTCATGAAATAAACTAGGCAACGTACGCCTTAAATAACCAAAAAAGGCATATCCTAACTAATGATGTAATAACCAAACTTCTTGCAAATTACTAGTATGAAATGCTTAAACTGCATTAGCTCTGCCATGAACGACGTCATCCACATAATACAACCCCTCTCTCTTAGTGCCATGCCCAATTATCTCCTTAGTCT